CTGGGAGAGCGGGAAGGTGTGGCCTAATATGACCCCGCCCCCCTTGCTGGTCAAGGTGGGGGCCTGGCTGGGGTGGTGTCTCCTAGTTCCGCCCTGACTGTTCGGCTTCGGGTCTTGGGGCGGGGCGTTTGTGGACCACGCCCCGAGCAGGTCGGCTTGAGGGGGTTGGTTAGGGTCTCCCCAGATAGTGATAGGGACTAGATTCCCTGGATTACTTTGGGAAAGGGTGACTCTGAAGGCCTTTTTTCTATGGCCAACCCGGGCATTTACTGGAGAGAGTCTTAGAATTTAAGGGTGGAGTCGCCTATCCTCTCAACTTTTTGTTGTGGGTCAGAAGGTATTGTGATCATCTGAGAACTGACAACCGTCTTTGTCCCAGTTTTTCCTGAAAAGAGCCGCATCTTTCGGGGATGCAGAGATAGCTCAGTATTTAAGAGACTAGATTGCAACCTGGCATGAAGATGCCTGCCTTTAATTCCAGCACTTGGGAGGCAGAGGCAAGCAGATCTCTGTGAGTTCGAGGCTGTTCTGGTCTACTGAGTTCCAGGACAGCCAGAGTAACTCCCCTTTCTGGGGTGTGTGTGTGTATGTGTGTGTGTGTGCCCAGATTGTTTCTCCAGACGACCTGGGCTCTCTTCCCAACAGGCATAGGGCAGCTCCCATGGCAACAGACATGTACTTGGTGCATAGACAAGACAGACTTGCAGGCAAAACACATAAATTTAAAATAATAGTAGTATGCATATTAAAAAGGGATGGATTTTGAGACTGGCCGTGAGAAAGTGTGCAATGAATTTTAATTCCCAGACTCCCACTCTGTTTTGTGTTCTTAAATAATTTTGTTATTTTCTCAGTTGATTTAAGGAATGGAAAAAAATTTAACTTCAAGATTAATGAGCTTAGTCTTGGATTCTCAGATTTGTAATCTTTACTGTTAACTCAGAAGTCATTTAGTTAAAACAAAAACAAAACATACAGCAACAACATCAAAAACCTGCCTGGGTTTGTAGCAGACACCTTTCCAGGCCAGCCAGGGCTACACAGTGAAACTCTTATCTCAAAACAAACAAACACAAAACCTTACTAGGAAACCAAATATTTTGTCTAAGTAATGTATTCTAATAATAAAGGCATAAAACAGCAACTGTATGATTCTAAAGCAACATTGCCTAATAAAATGAGACGTTCCATTTGTAATTTTATTTGTATTTATTTTTTTGAGATCGGTCTTGCTATATGGCCCTGGCTTGATAGCAGCTTTGTCATCAAATGATCTGCCTTCCACATCAGTAGCTGAAACAACAGGTGTGCGCAACAGGTGTACATTATAATTAAAACTGTATAAATGAAATTGGGTAGCTGTTGTATTAGTTACATTTCCTATTGCTGAGACAAAATGCTGGAGAAAACTAATCGAAGGAAGGCTCATGGTTGGGGGTGGAGTCAGTCACTCTGGGGAGGCATGGTGGCAGGAGTATGAGGCTGCTTGTCACTTGTCCTCAGTCAGGAAGCCAGGAGTGACAAATCCTGGTGCTCAGCTTGTCTTCTCCTTTTTATTTAGTCCCGGACCCCAGGCCATAGAACAGATGCTGCCCACTGTTAGGGTTTGTCTTTCCGGCTCAGCTAACCCAGTCTAGAAACGTCCTCACAGGTATGCCTAGAGATGTCTCTCTTAGATGATTCTAGATGCCGTAAGGTTGACAACATTAACCATCACAATTTAAATTAACCGTATTAATACAATTTCCAGATTTAATAACTTAAAAATCTACCAGGTTAAACTCAAATTTTAGATGAACAAGAAGCAATTTTAATTATAATTATGTCCCCTGAAGGGAGGGATGTGTGAAACTGAGTTGTCAGCAGGTGTCCTGTGCTCTACCTGACAGTGCTGCATATTGGGGCTCAGTGGGTGAATGCTTGCCTAGCATGCACCAGGCCCCGAGTTTGATTCCACCATTGTAAGAAAAACTTTCTTTAAAATGTATGAAACAAATTGTAATATACTTAACCTAATGTATCAGAAACATTATTATTTCATTATAAAATTGATAAGGAGATTATAAGTGCATTTGATTCTTACTAGAAGTCATGAATCCCATTTCTCATGCTAAGTCTGAGTAGTCCAATGTGTACTTGAGGCTCACTTCAATTGGATCTGGTGGCACACCTTTAAATACTTAACAACTACATTTAGTTAATGGCTACCATATTGGGTTGTACTATTTTAAGGACTTTAAGAATTTTGGCTGCTAGTAATAATTTAAATATTGTAAGATATTCTTATTTTGTGAAAATGCCTTTTAACATTTTGTGTTTTCTCTTGCTTTTATTTTGTTTTACTTATTTGTTTCTGTGGTCCTGGGGTTGAACCTAGGGCCTTTGCATGCTTGTCTGTTTAAAATAGAACAAAACAATACAATCATGATAGTATTTAATACAGGCTAAACTGAAAACAAAAATATAGAAGGGAATCTAACATTGCCACCAGTTCTTAGACAAGAAAATATGCATGTCTTAGTAAGGGTTTCTATTGCTAGAAGAGACACCACGACCACAGTAACTCTTTTTTTAAAAAAAAATGTATTTATTTATTTATTAATTATGTATACAGTATTCTGTCTGTGTGTCTGCCTGCAGGCCAGAAGAGGGCATCAAATTTCATTTCAGGTGGTTGTTAGCCACCATGTGGTTGCTGGGAATTGAACTCAGGACCTTTGGAAGAACAGGCAATGCTCTTAACCGCTGAGTAATCTCTCCAGCCCCCCACAGCAACTCTTATAAAGGAAAACATTTAATTGGGACTGGCATATAGTTTCAGAGGTTTAGTCAGTTATTGTCATGGTGAGAAGCATGGCAGCATGCAGGCAGACATAGTGATGGAGAAAAAGCTGAGGGTTCTACATCTTGATCTGCAGGTGGCAGGAAGGAGTCTGAGTATCACACTGAATGTACTTTGAGAATATAAGACCTCAAAGCCCATCTCTACGTGACACACTTCCTCCCCCAAGGCTACACCTACTCCAACAAGGTCACACCTCCTAATAGTGCTATTCTCTTTGGGCCAAGCATTCAAATCATGAGTTTATATGGGCCATTCCTCTTTAGACCACTACAGAAAACATTTACATAACACATAGATTTTTAAAATAAATTACACTGAGCCAGGTGTTATAGCACATGTATAATTCTAGCATTTGTGGCAGAGGAAGAGGATCATAAATATGAGGCCACCCTGGGCTACACATGCATGCTTGGAACTCATAGTGAGACCCTTCGGAAGCAATGGTAAAAGTCTTATCAAAACATTGGTCATTTTTTGCATCTGACTGTTCAGCCATCCTTCTGCCTAAATCTCCGGGGCTATGCCTTTAAAAGAGAATTTGTTCCTTGCTAACATCATAACTGTTCCTTATTTAAAATTACCAAGAAAGAAAGCACAACTTCTTGGTAATAAACCAGTTTCTTGTATCCTAAAATAATATTAAGCATTTCAAAATAATTGAAAACCTCTTTGAAAAGAATGTTGAATCCTGTCCAAAGAAAACCATGTAAAAATAAGTCTTATTTTACCATAGATAAAAGCTAGTTTATACTATAATAGAAAATATTGGGTTTTGCAAGATGCCTCAGTGGGTAAAGTGCTTGTTCCCATGTTCAATGACCTGAGTTTGATCCTTTGTGTGTCAGGGTTCTCTAGAGTCATAGAACTTATGGAAAAATTCTCCGTCTCTGTCTCTGTCTTTGTCTCTATGTGTATGTATGTATGTATGCATGTATGTAGGTGTGTATAAAGGGAATGTACTGGAATGACTTACAGGCTTCAGCCCCACAAGGCTATCTGTGAATGCAAAGTCTAACAATCTAGTAGTTGCTCAGTCCAAGGAGACTGGGTGTTTTAGCTGGTTGTTGCAGTGAGGGCCCACTTGTTTGTCCCGGCCACCTGGCTAGCTTAGCTCTGAAATAACCACACAAAAAACTGTATTAATTAAATCACTGCTTGGTCCATTAGCTCTAGGTTCTTATTAGTTAATTTTTACATCTTAATTTAACCCATTTCTATTAATCTGTGTATCGCCAAGTGGCAGTGGCTTTCCAGGTAAAATTCCCAGCATCTGTCTCCAGCAGATCCATGGCATCTCTCTGACTCTGCCTTCTTTCTCCCAGCATTCTGTTTAATTTTCCCTGCCTACCTATGTTCGGCCCTAACAAGAGGCCCAAAGCAGTTTCTTTATTAACCATTGAAAGCAACACAAAGACAGAAGGATCTCCTACACCATTTCCCCTTTTCTGTTTAAACAAAAAGGAAGGCTTTAACTTTAACATAGTAAAACTGCATATAACAAAGCAGGTATCAAGCAAGAATTACAGTTACAATATTTATATCTACTTTATCTTTATCATAACAAAGGAAAACTATAACTATCTATTCTTCAACTCCATCAAAGACTTCAGAAGGATATAATATTACATAGTAAACAGGAAGTACATTGTAAGCAACTTCCAAAACTCTAGAATTGGCAGAGATATCTTGCTGCCTGGATAGTCATCCAAAGTTTTTCTGTACCGTTGGGGCATCCATCTTTAGCCTACAGGCCCATAGTATCTGGCATACTTTTCCGTAAAGTAAGAAATTTCAAAGACAGTTCAGTCACTTTCTTCTGTATCCTGCAGAAAGTCTCACAGAGTCTCTCATGAAGCAGGAACCCTGAAGGATCTTCTCACCTTTAGACAAGTTCAGCAGTCATTTTTCTGCAGGTACTGTACATCCAGTTCAGCAGTTTAGGCAAGAGCAGTTTCTTGTCCAAATGACTAAGGAGCGTCTTTGATGCCTATCTTCCTCTCAGAGTAATTGGTGCTGCCAGGAGCAGATGTGCCTCACTGTCATGAAAAGTCCTAAGTTCTTAAAACATTTTAAATGCCATATTCTGTAGTCTTTGAAAGATATGAAGAATACCTACCTAACTGAAATAGAGCTCTGTACATCTAGAAAGTCTAACTAACATGACTACAAGCTTGACTATTATAGATGATTATCTATTAACCTATATTTCTTAATTATATATTATATTTTTAAATGAACTACACAAGTACAATACTTTAATCAAGATCAGAAATACATATACATATAACAAAACTGACCTTAAATTTGTATCAATAAACCAAGATCCATACTAATGCAAATTATTCACATCTATATCATATCCCCCTTTAAATGTAAAAGAACATATATAAACAATATTAGGGAATATGGATGTAGTTTTGTCCATACTGCTTCCTGCTGTTTGGGGGTCCTGTTAATCATGTCTTTCATGGTGTATCCTGTGTGCTAGGTTCATCTCAGTCAGTAGTTGGGTAAAGTAATTTTTTGATTGTGTTCATGGCAACCTTTGAGGGGGACATGGTCTATCAAACAATATTTGTCTGGAAATATTCCACGGGTTCTCATCTTCTGTGGAAACAAAAGAAAAACCTCTTTTCCAAAACACCATATCCTTAGACCCAAATTCTGAAGTCAAGATACCTTTATAATATACATACTGGTTTAGCTTAGCAGCCCATACAATGAAATGTCTCTCTGTACTTAGCTCCTTCACAGTCAAAAAATTCAAAGATAACACAATAATATACATAATCCAGACTCTCTGTGAATTTTCCATTTTTCTGTGGCTTATTTTTCTTTACTCTATTACTTTTTAATATTTATTTTATTATCTTTACTCCTTTAATCTACAACTGTCTGTACTCTGTCTCTTTAAAGACTTTACCCTACTTTTTAAAGCATTAACTTTATTTTATGACTCTCTATACTCTTTTTCTTCTCTCTCCCAAGCCCAAGTACATTTATCCGACACTGTGACCCATTTAGAGGTCTTTTTCATCTGAATTTGTCTTTATTGCGTTTCTGTATTTTCTGATCAGAAACGTTTTTTAAAATGCTAAGTGCTTAAGAACCTAAGCTGTGACATTCCTAGGTACTACCTGCTAGTCTGGCCCAGTCCAGCATGGGGGAGCTGCTCACCCTCTGAAAGTCAAGCACATCGACCCACTTCCAGGCACACAATAGCCCATGTTGCTGTTAAGCAAGCTGCAGCAGTCTGCTCAGAAATCCCAGTCAAATGCTCTGTAGCTGAACCTCTTGCCTGAGTCAGAGGTCACACTGGTAGCTTGACCCAGAAAGCCTGCATTTCAAAACTACAAGGCTTTTTTTCTGCTGCTGCTGCTGAGTCAGGAAAATCTCTCTCTCTCTTTTTTAAATATTTATTTATTATGTGTACAATATTCTGTCTATGTGTATGTCTGCAGGCCAGGAGAGGGCGGCAGACCTCATTACAGATGGTTGTGAGCCACCATGTGGTTGCCGAGAATTGAACTCAGGACCTTGGGAAGAGCAGGCAGTGCTCTTAACCACTGAGCCATCTCTCCAGCCCCAGGAAAATCTCTTTTAAAGGAACTGTGGCACACTGCCAGCAAACAGCAAGAAGCTGTGTTAAACTCTGTATATTTTTTTCCTAAAATTCCTTTTTAAGCCCTCCCAGGTTTTATATGGAGTTAGTTGACCACATTAGAGCACCAATTGTTTCAGGAAGGGCCCACTTGTTTGTCCTGGCTGCTCGACTATCTTAGCCCCGAAATAACCACACAAAAAAC